TTTTCTTCGATCTCCTGTTGAGTTCGTCGGTGTTCAGAATGGTTTGATCCCTATTCAGCTGAATTCCTGAGACCAGACGAAATTTAGGTCTCCTACTCCTCTGCCATCTTTCTCCTCCCTGCAGGGCCTTGATTTCTAAAAGAGACCAATTAAGATGCCAGAAGTTGGAGGTCAGGGAGAATATATTGGGCTGTTGCTCGGCAAAATGATTAGTCTAAAACCTCATAGGAAGCCAGAGACTCCAGGATGCATACTCAAGTGTGGCCAATGACTTGACTCAGAACAGGAAGGCAAGAAATAGTTAGAAAAAAAAAAAAAAAAAAAAGGTGAAGCCAGATGGGACTAAAGATAAGTCTTGTCAGGCTGCCTGTTTAACAGCTTCTGAAATGCACTGTTGGACCTCACTCCAATGGAAGGTAGCAGACTTACATACATGTGATTGTCAAGGATTAGTGAGAGATGAGGGATATGTTGCCTCCAGAATATAAAAAGGCCTAGTATGTGTGGTGCCTGAGTGTAGTGGGTAGTTTAATAGTGGGCAATTGAGGTTTGACACCTGGGAGAATATTTCAGCTCTTAGAGGACCAGATGATGCCCAGAAACTTGACAGATGGATGATTGCCCAACCATGTTGGTATAGATGGCATGTGAGAACGTGTAGATTTGCCTGTACTGCCTTGTCAGAGGGACTCCTCAGCATGCCATCAATACAATACCAAAAATGGCAATTTTCCAATTGTAAGGTATTTAAATCCTGGCAGCAGAGGTTATGTGCAATTGCAGGATTATTTAAATATCCCATTGGGAGCCAAGTAAATATATCCTGTCTCTTCAAAAATGAAACCAAATTGGGTCAGGGATTATTCCACAGTGGGAACAGATTAGAACATATTAGCTAGGTCAGTGACTGCAAAGGACATTCCTTGGGCCCATTGTAAGTCCTCAAACAATTCTATAATATTAGGAATTGGAGCCTTAATGAGGGGAATCTAAGCATCGAGGTTTCTATAGTCAGTGGTGAGGCACTACTCATTAGTGACTAGCTTAAGTACAGACCAACTATGGCTATTGAAAAGGGAGATTGTGGGCTTAATGACTCCATCTCAAGCATATCTTTAATGACAGGGCACTGGCCTTCAGTGCCCTGTTTAAGTTGGTATTGGGAGATATTTACCATCTTGACTAGAGGAGGAGTCACTGGCCTCCATTTGGTGACTCCCACCAGGAAATCCAAAAACTTGGGCTTGTTCCATGTAGTTTGGCATAGTTTCAATGCACCTATATCTATAATAGGGGGGAAAAAAAAAAAGCCAAGAGGCCACCACCAGAGGAAGCTGTTTGAGTCAAATGGTTCCAACATTTACATCAGAACAGATTTGTTCACCTTTGCTTCTTTTACCAACAGTGTTCTCTATGTTGAAGGGCTTCCCCTTTGGGAATTTAGAGAGAGTTCCTGGAATGACAGTGATTGGGCCCTAGTGTCTAACAGAACTAAAAAGGATTATGTATTTTTATTGTCCCAACAGAACACCACAGTAGTATAGGGGGCAGTTGTCCCCAGAAGGTGGAACAAGCCCCACAGAGCCACTGATTTCCTGGGGTAGGCTGAAGTGAACACCAGTCCTGGAGATAAGGGAAGGATGCACAAGAAGCAGTGGGGACTGGGTCTGGAACAGAGT